TGAACTCCCATACTTGAGAGGAGAGCCCCAGTAAGGAGAGGCAAGTTGGTGCCCTGAGGAAGTCAGTGCCTCCCCAGCTGGTCTCCTGACTCTCCTTGTGTTCTGTAGAAAGAGGCCTGGCCGTGGGGAGGCCGGGTTAGGAAAGTGTCTGACGTCGTCGTCAGAGTTCCCTTTGAATTGTGCTTTCAGGTGTGCCAAGTGCTTTCTGTGTAACCCCAACAAGTAGGGAGTCCGTTAGTGTCCTCATCTTACAGATGGGGAGCCTGAGGCTCAGAGGGGTTCAGTGATTTGTCAAGATCACGGAGCCAGGAAAGGGCTCAAGGCAGGAAGGAGACCCAGGGCTTCCCATCCCAGTTCCTCCACTCTGTACATGCTGCCGTAGTATCTCTCAAACCATAGAATCTGCCTTCCTCTTCCGTTGTGCTCCCCAGGACCCCTGTTTTGTGGTTTGTAAATCCTCAGAAACCCTCCTTCCGTCCCCTTGCACGTCGGCATCCCTCGCCTCCTGCCCGCATGCTGCTGGTGCCCCTGGTCTCCCCCAGCTCCTTGGAGGCTCCCCCGGCGCCGTCCTTCGCAGCCTCTTCTCTTTGGGGCTTCCCTCCGTCTGGGTGCATGCCCCTTTCTAGAACAGATGTTGGCAGTCATCCTCTGCTCCCAGGATGGAGTCATTCTCCTTAAGGAATGCCTTTCTTGACTCCCCACAGTCTGTCTCTTCTCCCCAATCCCTGCCCTTTGTGCTTGACGTCAAGACGAATATTGATGGCCCCTCAAACCCTAGGGCTTCTCAGTTCACAACCCTCCTCACCTTGTCCTGTACCTTCAGTCTGCCCTGCACACACACACACACACACACACACGTGCACACACACACACCCCCTACCCTAGACACTCACACACACACACATACATACACACACTCCCTACCCTAGACACTCTCTCACACACACACACACACACACACCCTACCCTAGACACACACACACGCACACCCTACCCTAGACACACACACACCCCACCCTAGACACACACACACACACATACGCCCATGCACACGCCCATACACACACCCCCTACCCTAGACACACACACACACCCCCTACCCTAGACACACACACACACACACACACA